CAAATATGCTCTAAATACACTATAAAAGCTGTACTATTGAATCCTTAAACACTAGTTAATCCGTTCATTGATGTCAACTATTAGGATTAACTAGTATAGTATATATGCATATATTTTTTTTGAATGAAAGAAAATTAGTACATATTGAATTAAATAGGGAATGAAAAAAAGAGAATTCATGGGACTTAAACATAATTTACAAGAGATAATTCTCACTCATTTATGATCAAAATCACTAAATCAAAACATAAGAATCAGTATATATACATGTATTAGTAGAGAAGGGGGGAGAGAAGTTAGATGATGGTGTCTAAATGCATTAAAAGGGAAGGACCAAAATGTCGGCCGGCTGTTGCACGTGCAATATGATCGAGTAATAAAATCCTACCTTGGTGCAGCTCTGCTCTACAGCTTTAGAAAGTCGGCCAAGTAAAAGATACATAATCAGAGACTCAGGCGACTCACCCACCCACCCGCCAACTGCACTGCGCACACCCCCCCATCTTCTATTGAACACCACACACACACACACATTACTACTATTTGCTTTTTTCTGTAGCATGTATTTTGCATAAGCCTACCTCCAGGCTCCTGTAACCAGTACCTGCACCCTTACCTAGACCTGCTTTTTTGCATCGCCTGCATGTGATTACTCACTCCTCTATCATCGTAATAATAATGCCAAAAAAAAAAAAAATTGTAAAGAAGTTTTGGGCTAGCTGGCCCACCCAGTTAAGAGTCCAGTAATTGCAGATCGGCGCTAGTATAGTAGAGCACTACTATTATAGTCTGTGTGCAATGATAATAATTAAATTCTGTCAATGGACCTACCCGGAATAGGTAAACAAAATGATATTCATCAGTTACAATTAGATACATTTTGCCTTTAATTTCTAAAGTTCTTATTCAATTAGGTATTTAGGTTATTGATTTATATCAGATCTTACAATTAGATAATAGAATTAGTTGATATCAGAACTCTAATCAGAAGATATTGATTCGAATAAATGTGAATTAGATAGATTAATAATTTTATGATCAATATTGAAATTAGTGTTTGTAGGAAGGATTTTCTAAAAAAATTAATTAGCAAAAAAAAAACTTAAAATTATGTTATTTCAATAAAAAAATTATGAGAAAATATTAGAACAATTTTATCTATATTTTAAAAATATGTTATTTTAGTCTTTGTATAAGTGAGAGTTCATTAAAACAATTTTTTTAGCTTAATTCTTTGGAGATTTCGCTGATAAAATATTTTTCTCGTAAAGATTATACCAGAGTTATTCTCATGGCCAAAAGAATTAAGTATTAAGTCTAAATAAGTATTTTAAAATTCCAATGATGAAACAAGTTTAAATCAAAGGTTTTTGAGTTAAAAAAAAAAAAGGAAGAAAGATTGAATAAATTGAAGATATTGATTTCAAAGAAAATCTCATGGACAAATAATTATCTTCTACCAAAACTTGGAATAACTTGGATCAAGAATTTAAAGTTTAGTAGTAAATACAAACTCTGCTGAATCAAATTGATTTACCTAATTAGCTTTTGGTCTTTTGTGTAGTTGATTAGAATTGAAATAGTATTCATAAATGGAATTTGGGATGAAGGTAGAATGATGGAGATGGTTCAGGTGAGATCATTCAAGTGGATTAAAGGAAAGTTGCCACAGATAACCATAGATTATAATGGGTGGTGTCAGTGTCCTTAATTTTGTGCTCTGGAAATCATGAAAGGCAGCAAGTAGGAACAGTTTTGTTCGTACTGAGCATTTGGGATTAGAGAGCAATGGTGTTACTTTTTAAACAGTATTGATGATGTATAAGCAATTTGAATACTTTTTATACTCAATTAATAATATTTGTTCGATTAATAAAAAAATAATAACCATATTTATCCTCTTAGCAGTTACTATTTATTGATATTCATGTGTCCTTTTTCAATTGTTTGTTCAGGTAAATTTAGGTAAGGTTTTTATATCTCATTTAAAAATGTTTATTACAATAAGTAGTACTTATTGTACGTAACCTATACCCATCTTTTAAATTTGTACACGTTAAAAAAAAAAAAAACAGAAAAGGTAATTTTTATCAAGTATTTTTATTTTATTATAAAAATAAATTCACAATTACATTTAAAAGGTTCGTGCATGGAAGTAAAAAAAATAAAATAAAATAAATAAAAGAAGTGTTTAATTCATGACATCATGTTAGATATATAGTGATTGACTAATTAATGGTAATGTTTTAGAAGAAAAAAGAAAAGAGAGGTAGCCGAACACTTCCATGCCACCCACTAATTGCGTTGCGCTCTTTCATGTTCACGAAAAATAGACAGAGTTCATCTATGTTCAATTTTTTTTACTTATTAAATAGATATTAATTTTTAATTATTATTTTTTTGTCAAAAAAAAAAAACAACACTTACTGTTTTAGTTACGATGGCAATACATCAACGCTCTTGATTTATTTATCAAAGCTTCAAATTGTCAATACAATAATATTATAATTATTTTTTCTTTTCTCAATTTTTTACTTTTGTCAAAAAAAAAAAAAAAAAGAAAAAGGCAAAAAAGGAGAGGTAGCTAGGTCGCTGCTGTTGCATTGATTAATATATAGTAGTAGAATACTAAAATGGCAGCACCGACCTGCGGTTTTAGGACGAGACTGGGGTCGGGTGAGGAGAAGGACTTGTCGAAGACGAAGACGACAGTGGTTGCGTCGGACCATTATTATGAATTTGAAATTCAACCATATGGACTTCAATATTATCCATTCAAAGCTACTACTAGTACCACTAGCAATATAGTATGCTGCTAGCGTTGAATGAAACCTGAGCCTTTTTCTCGTCACCCGTACACTAACATTTAATTTTCGAACTCCCACAGGCAGCTGCGTTACTGATCTACAACTAAGCTTAGCTTTTTCCCTTCTCTCAATATGAGGGGACCAATCATTCTTCATTTATTTTTCTCTCTGGCTCATATGATTCGTACGATATCTTGGTTCTGGTTATCCTCACGTAGTAAATTATCATGTTAGTTTTTATTTGTTTTATTTTTAAAAAATTAAAATAAAATATTTTAATTTATATTTTAAAAATAAAATATTTTAATATTTTTTAATAAATATTTATTAAAATAACATAATTTTAAAATAATATTTTTTAAAATTTTTACGATACAAGACAAGTAAATATTATTATCATAAATTATTAATGATATATATAAATTATTATTTTATTTACACATATTACGAAATAATAAGAGGGATAAATGGATAAAATGATAATTTAATAATATAAAATAAATTATTTATGTAGCCTTAATAATTTTTTGTGTGACAATAACTGAAATGTAATTTCTTTAATCTGTTCTTTTAATTTTTAATTAGTTTTTTTTTAAAAAAATTTTTAGCTCCAAGCCAAGTTCGTAACCCTAGATCGATTTGGTTGAGTATATATCATTCAAAGAATCGAACGTGGCGGCATATAATAATGTAGAGACTCATTAACTTGGACACTAATTAATTAATTTGTATTGTAAAAGATTAAGATCAATTCAAGCTTTTGGTTTTAAATAGTATTTAACTAATTTTAGGATAATGATGATTGGTAGCATAGATCAATTATATGTATAAATTATTGATTTTGTCTGCTAATTTTCAGGAAAGTCAATTTGGTTAGAGCACAATTGGGTGTGCTTTCCACTAGTGGCGGTGGAATCGCATGTGCGGTGGTCCGGTGGAAAAAGTAGATGGTTGGCACGGCTTTTTGTTCAGGCTTGGTTGTGGGCATGAATTGCTTCCTAATTATCTTTTGCAGTTGTTAGTATTATGTACTTGTTTTTCTTTAAAATTTATAATTAGTAAATAGTATGGACATTATTGATACATTTTAAATAGTTAATGTCACATATTAATGTAATTGTGAAAATTATGCATGCAGATTCAATAAAAGGTTTGCATCTAATTTAAAATCAATTGGCGCTTCTAACCTAAAATCAATTGACACATCCAATTTAAAATTAATTGGCAATAGGTGAAATAGTTTTTTCTTTATTTAACCCACAAGTTTTTTTACTTTTATACTTAATGTTGAATTTTCTCACTTAACACATCATCTCTATTGCAAGTTTGCTATGTATGTCGGATCCTGTCATGTAACTTAATACGCCCCCTTACATGCAAATCAGGTAGGCTAACAATGGGCTTCCAGGGTAGAACTTGGGCTCTGTACCATGTGAAAATTGTACATGTGGGTTCAGCACAAAATTTGCATTCAACGTAAAATCAATTAGCAATAAGTGAAGTAGTCTTCCTTATATTCAACTCACAAGTTTTTTTTTTTTTTTATATACTCGATATAGGGTTTTCTAACTCAACACACC